GTTCAAAACTGTGAATACGTTTTTCTCACTAGGTAAACGTTCAATTGTAGTCATTTTCTTCTTTCTTTTATTCTAAGGTGCTGAGTTATTTGTCGGATGGGTTTATTCTTACTGGTCGCAAATGGTGATTTTTCAAAGAAATCTTAGTTCACGAGAATCAATAAATATTAAACAATTACCCGGATGGGACACTGAAGGACTTCATCTGGTAAAACGAAGGAAGAAGTAGAGCTACACTTTTTTTAATAATTATCATTTCTTGTTACAAGATGAATTTTGACAAGTGATTCTGCAAGTGTGCGGGCATGCTCACACTTAGATGCCAGTATGCATAATTTGTTCATGAATTATTTTTAAATGGTTAGAACAATGAAATTCATTCATTTCCTTCTTCAAATATAATTAACTTTATCGTTAACTAAATAAACTAATTCGCATCGACAAACTTCATTTACAATAATAGACCTACCTTAACAAACACCCAAATACGGACTTCATCGAAAGGCTTCTGTTGTATGGAACAATATTGCAGACAGATATGTTATAGTGACAGCGAACACGTGATCACGTACCTAACTTTCTTTTGTATTTAACATGATGACAACGAGAAATGCTACCGTCATCTGCTAGTGCAATGTTTCTGAAGCAAACAAATAAACAGATAAAGTTTGTTTTCATGAAAAAAATATTTGTGTGTGAATAAATTTATGAATTTCATATTAGTTCATGTCACCATGACATGTACTGTCGCTGTGCCATATACCGGATTCTGCCGTAAATTGGTCCGGGGTCGTTAAACGGCAGTTTGGGTTTAAAAAAATAAAATGTGACCAAGAAATCGCCCAGGGCGAGTTTTCGACACTGGATGATATTGTAATGACATTTTAGGCGGTCTACTGAAAGAAAAAAACATGTATAAAATTTTAGATTAGCTTCATTAAATTCAGTTTGCAAGTAGTGAAATAGAAATGTTGAAAACCAAAGTAACAACATTGGAAAATCGCGTTGCTGCTTTGGAATCAAATAATAACGAATTACGTCGAAAATTGGTAAATACAGAAGACCAGTGCCTACGCCTTGAACGGTATTCTCGAAGTGTTAATGTCCGTTTTTAGTGGTGTTAAAGAAAATGAAAATTGTATGGAGTTGGTCAGCAATATTTTAAAAGACTGTGGTTTTGAAAACCCCGAAGATATGGTAGAGAATGCACATCGTGCCCATATTCGCAGTCAACCAGGTGCGATCCATACAGTTCAACTTCGCCATATAATTGTGAAATTTTTCCGACGGCCACAACGGTGGGATGTATTTAGAAAGGCTAAGGCCATGTTGAAGGGGACTAGTCGGTTTATTACGGAGGATTATTGTCCTACAGACTATAGAGTTAAAAGGGAACTCAGGTCAGTGATGGAAAAGGCATTTAAAGAAAATAAGAAACCCCGTTTTACAAATGGTCAACTGTATATT